ACCTCTGAGCTTTCTCAAGTAGACAGTATGTTTCTGTAGGTTTCTGCTGTCTTCCTAGGATGACAATACTACCCAGTTTTGTGTCTAACCTCTTCTCTATTAAATTTAGCCTACACTCATACATGAACCTTATTTATGATAATCCCCATAAAATAAAACAAAAACTTTGCTGGCTTTCTATTGAAAATAGGTGAAAACTCTTTGGCCTGCACTCACGGCCCCTTTGTTAACTTCAGCCAACCATTCTAGCCTCTGTACTGCCTATCACTCTTATATACTGTATATAATCCACCCATGGTTTTCTGTAAGATCCAAGAGAATCTATGAGCTGTTAAATCAGAGGGTCCTTGGAGACAGAGCACATACCTTAATCATTTTTATATTATAATACCTAGCATAATGATTTGCTGACCAAATGTTCTCTCTCTAAAAATCATTAACTCCTTAATTAGCTAATATTAACTAGTAAATTCTCGAAAATAGGCAAATAAACAAATATTTTATAATTTTGTAATAGGGGCTAATTACTCACTGTAATAAGGTCATCTCTCGCTCTGAGGACTTTAAGCCTGGCTTGATTCATCAAATTGGACATCTTACTGCAAACAGAATAAAAAAATAGTGTATCAGTAAGCACAGAAAACTACAAATACTTCTCTTTGTACATACCACAAAGAGAACTCCACTGAAATATATTTAGTAGTTCCTACCTATTTTCAAAGACAAGGAAATATTTATTAAGTGCCTACCAAGTGCCAAGCAATTTCATATCAGTTATTTCAATTTAATCTTTCAATAATTCTGTGAGGCTTCTATTTTCACAAATGAGGAAAGAGAAGTTAAGCAACTTGCCCAAAATCAGATAAGTAAGTCATCCATTTTAAAACTTGAACCCATATTTGCTTGACTCCAAAGTACCTGCTGTCCTCTTGAACGATTGACTTGTAAAGATTCCAGGATCTACTTACATTTTCTTCTGCTGCTCTATCTGCTTTTCTTTCTTCTCATAGTATTCCATAATTTTCAGTCTTTGAGTTTGCACAAGACGACCTTTCTCAATGTTGAACTCTTCTTCTGCCTACCAGAGAATTAATTAATTCATGACATCTGATTTTAACAGTTTTATTTTAAGCAGCTAGTGACCACAGGTACTTTCTTATAATCACCTTATTCCTTATCTAAAACAGGAAATTTATTATGACTCGTCTTCAAAGATTACTTAAAATTTGATCCAGGATAATAGTACCCTGCAATAAAGTTACAAAGGATTTAATCAGGTAAAATAGTCTATGTCTGAAAAAAATTATTATGTATTCTAAATTGAATCCATTTGTTTACTAGAGGCTTAATGAAAAGAACACAGAATTTGGAGTTTAGAAAATCTGGGTTACTGCTGAAAGAACAATGTGATATTCTGTGTATAAACAATGTGCAACTAGAAATATCTATACAATTTCTAAATACTGACTATCATCTTTGTAACAACAGGAGCTTTAATTTTATACCTTATATACTTCCAAGCTATATATTTTTTTGCAAAATCACAAATTAATAAAAAAAAACCAAAATACTGTACCCTCCCCTAACCAACTATTGCAGTTAGCCATAGATGCTAATGTCTGAATGCTGGATTCCATGAAAAAAATTAATCTACTGTCTTTATTTCATTTTTTACTTTTAATATGTTTCACTATTTTATTTTGGAAAATTTTAGACTTACAGAAAAGTTGCAAAAATATTAGACTGTATCTCCACCCGTTTTTAAATATCTTATCTTACACACAATTTGTCAAAACTAAGAAATTAACACTGATATATTACAATTAACAAAAACTCCTACATTATTGTTTCCCTTATTACTACTTTATCTTTTTCTGTTTCAAAATGTTATCCAGGTTACATTTTATTTAGGTATTGTGTTTCCTCAAATTTCCTCTGAACTGTGACAGTTTCTTCAGTCTTTCCTTGTTTTTCATGACCTAGATAGTTCTGAAGAGTACTGATATTCTGTAGAATGTCCCTTAATTTGTGTTTGTCAGATTTTTTTTTAATAATTAGGCTGGTAATACGGGTTTTGAGGAAGCATACCACAGAGATGGTGTCCTCATCCTGCATATTTAGGGGTAACCTCATGAATTATCCACATCACTGGTGATATTAACCTTGAACACTTGGTTAAGTTCTATTTATGCACTGTAAAGCTAGTATTTTTACCTTTTCCTTTTTTTTTACTTTTATTAACATTTATTTGATGAATCTACTCCTGGACCGTAAGTTTTTGTTTCTTCAGTTTCTCCTGGGACATCTTTTCCTTCTGTGCAAGCTCCTCTTCTGGCTCAGGAACACTCTGTTTCAGTGAGGACCGTCTCAGTGTGGCGGGGGGCCGCTCATGTAGGGTTCATCCGCCCATGAGCTCTGAGCTCTGTACGTTCTTCACTGCATCCTGGGAGTCTTGTACCCCTGTGTGTGCTAATGACCAAAGAGTCTGCATCTAAACCCTTTAGTTCAGCATCACTCTCTGCATTAAGCACGTGCAGCGAAAATTCAAAACTCTCTTTGGGCCACTGACTCTGCATCCAGCCCCACTGTTGGGCCTGGGCACACCTACCAACTCTGCCATTGTAACAATGGAATGGCACACACTGTGAAGTGACACCTTTCTAATGCTTGGTGGCTTTTCGGATATGCATACCCTTGATGGCCTGGGCAGTTTCACAAATGTTCTTAAAGTGAACAGAAAGATTTGAACCTCTTGATTTCCATGATTTTGTGGGATTTTCTGGGTCAAGTGACTAGGGAACCATTTTCAGAGGTCGCCT